TTTTGCTGGTGGAGGGTCCTGCCTCATGTCCATGGCTGCTGGCTGATCTGGGTGGTGGTTGCTGAAAGTTGACTGTGGCAATTTCTTAAAATAAGACAGTAACGGAGTTTGCTGCTTCAATGGACTCTTCCTTTCATGAAAGGTCTCTGTAGCATGTGATGCTGTTCGATAGAATTTTACCTACAGAACTTCTTTGAAAATTGGAGTCAATCCCCCCACATCCTGCTGCTGTTATACAACTACATTCGTGCGATATTTTAAATCCTTTGTTGTCACTTCAACACTGTTGACAGCATCTTCACCAGGAGCAGACTCCATCTGAAGAAACCGTCTTTGCTCATCCATGAGAAGCCGCTCCTCATCCACGGAAGCTTTATCATGAGATCACGGCAACTCAGTCCCGTCTTCAGGCCCCTCTTCTAGTTCTAGGTCTCCTGCTGTTTCCACCACATCTGCAGTTGCTTCCTCACTGAAGTCTTGAACCCCTCAGAGTCATCCCCGAGGGGTTCCTTTGGCAACTACAGGCACTCACCACCATGCCCAGTTAATTTTTTAACTTCTTCCAAACTCCTGTCCATGTGGGTATTTCAACCTCCTCCCGTGAATCATGAATGTTCTTACTGGCATCCAGAATATTGAATCCTTTCCCGAGGGTTTTCAGTATATTTTGCACAGATCCATTAGAGGAATCACTATGTATGGCAGCTATAACCTTATAAATGTATTTCTTAAATAATAAGACTTGGAAGTCAGAATTACTCCTTGATCCATGGGATGCAGAATGGATGTTGTGTTAACAGGCATGAAAACATTACTCTCCTTGTACATCTCCGTGAGAGCTCTTGGATGACCAGGTACATTGTCAGTGAGCCGTAATATTTTGAAAGTAATTTTTTTTCGGAGTGGTAGATCTCAACATGTGCTGTCAGCCAAGCTTTCTTGTTCCATTTATAGAGCATAGGCAGAGTAGATTTAGCATAATTCTTAAGGGCCTTAGGATTTTGGGAATGATAAGTGAGCATTGGCTTCAGCTTAAAGTCACCAGCCGCATTAGCCCCTAGCAAGAGAGTCAGCAGCCTTTTGCTTTAGTGCAGGCATTGACTTCTCCTCTCTAGCGATGGAAGTCCCAGATGGCACCTTCCTCCAATGGAAGGATGCCTCATCTACGTTGAGAATCTGTTGTTTAGCGTAGCCACCTTCACTAACGATCTTAGCTAGATCTTCCAGATAACTTGCTGCAGCTTCTACGTTAGCACTTGCTGTTTCACCTTGCACTTCCTGTTATGGGGACATCTTTCTGTAAACCTCGTGAACCAACCTCTGCTGGCTTCCAGCTTTCCATCTGCAGCCTCCTCGCCTCCCTCAGCCTTCAAAGAATTAAAGAGACTTAGAGGCCTGCTCCAGACGAGGCTTTGGTTTCAGGGAATGTTGTGGCTGATTTGATCTTCTACCCAGACCACTAGAGCTGCCTCCGTATCAGCAGCGAGGCTGTTTCACTTACCATTTGTGTGTTCGTTGGAATAGCACGTAATTTCCTTCTAGAACTTTTCCTTTGCATTCTT